CCCTCTCTCTCTCTCTCTCTCTCTCTCTCTCTCTCTCTCTCTCTCTCTCTCTCTGGAGGGGAGCTCAAGCAGGTCGACTCACATGCCTGTTAGCAGGTAACGGCAGGTACAGGAAGAGGCATCGTCCAAAATACCTCAAAAACTCGCCCAAATAAGCAAATTCTGTGAGACTCAGCTTTTTATACTGGATTACATTTAATTTGATCAATTCCGCGATTCTGTTCGTGTTTCCTTAGCAACTTATAAATGGAAGTGGAGCAGGAGAAGGTGGATTCTGATTGGCTGCTGACACACACATTTCCGCCATGTTTGATCGAGTAGAGGCTCACTGTAATTGACCTGAAAATTTTCTCGATCAATAATCACGATCAAATAATCGCCGAGCCCTACTGTTTTGTTTTATTCTCTCAGGGGTCTCCTGTTGGTTTTTTGTTTTGTACTCTTGCTTTCTTTTTTTCTTGTACTCTTTTTCATTCCTGTCTGTTCAACCCAGAGTCTCATTTTCCTTGTAGTCTGTCCTGTTTGTCTGTAAGCCCTCCGCCCTCCCGTGTGTTTTGGTTGACACCTGGAGACCATCTTTAAAGGTGGGGTACTGTGAGGATCTGTGTCTTGTGTTCTCATTATCGTCTTTTCCTCAGTCAGCTCTGTCCTCTCCACCTCCCTCGCCTGTCTGTAATTAATAATCTGTTCCCAGCACAGGTGTTGCCAATTCCCTCTCTCCCTCAGTTTGTATTTAGCCAGTCTCTTGTCACCACTTCCTCATCTGTTCATTGTTTGGTTCAGCCTTGGCTTTCTCCCATGTCTCCTGTTTTGTTCTTTGTTTTGCAGCCACATCAGCTTTTTGCTTTTATAAAATTCTTTATTTTTTGATTCCTCATATCGTGCCTGGTTCCAATCTCACCGCCAATGCATCACAATGAAGGTTTTGTAGAATAGGTATGGTGTGATGTGATTWATTGAATGAGTCTGTGTAGTAATACAGGAAAAATGGCATTTAAGAGAATAAATTTGACGTTTTGAAGCAAGGTTCTTTAAAAAATTTATTAATATTTTTTTTATCTGTTGTAAGATAATTCAACAGTCTTAGTATTGAAATATGTTTTTACTGACTTAATGGCACTACACAAATGCATTTAAGGTTTTGATATTTGTATACTGAAAGGGTCTGATGCTCTTATTTTGAAATGTTCTTAAAATCAATGTACTATATGCTCCTGAGATTAGCTACTGATTAAGTTGTAGTTTTTAGTAAGCATTAAAACACGTCTTACACTGGACAACACATCAAAGTTTCRTATTACAGCTACTGAGGAAGTCAAGTAACGCAATAGGTGAGGGCTCTCCTCTGTCAATAGAACTGCCATGGGGCTAGCCTGGCCCTTGCCTTCCTATGCAGCTCCGCTCAATTCTAGTTTCGCTTCACTGCTCCATCTGGCATTTCTCCCATTAACAAGGATTTCACTGGCAGATTTTTAGCCGGGCCAATCAGAGAACAGAATGTCGATTTTCTGTCTCTTGTAATTTATTTTCCTGGTCCAATC